ACAAAGTGCAGTGAAAATTCAGAAACAGAAGAAACTTGACTGGGTGTTAAGAAGAGAGCATATAAGCTTCATTGGATTGTAAATATTTGTTAACAGAAATTAGGTCTCTACTATAATTTTTCTGTGTATGCAAGAATTTTCACTGGAATTAATTGTATTAACCTATTTGTGCCAGAGGTTGCAATTTTTTTTTTTTTTTTTTTTTTTTTTGTGAAAAATCAGAACTTGGTGATGACCTTGAGGAGTAGGATATAAATAACTCTCACAAGCTTAGTGTTCCAATAATGGAACACTAGGCATAAATGGGTTAACCCATTAATAAGCATGAGATATGCATAATTCAATTAGATTAACCAATAATAGGGGAACGCTTGTGTTTGTGATGTATTGCAAATAAAAGTTATTGAAATTTTTGTTAAAAATAATATAACAAATGTCAGTGTAGTAAAGTAAAACTTAAAAATGTCATCTATAGCCACCTCATTTAAAGATAATACCTATTGACATCTGTGTATTTTTTTTGTATTTTTTCTGTACTGTGTGCATGCTTATATTTGATGTTGTATTCTGGTTCAAATTAATTGATAAAATAATTTTTTTTTAATTTTAGTACCACACTTTTGCAAACATCATTTTTAATGGCTACATAATAGTATATTGAGTAGCTGTGGCATGATTTACTAAAACTTTTTTTATTGTTTGCAACTATAGAAATGGTAAAGTTATGATAGAGAACAAAGTTGTTCCGAGATCCCTTGGAAGGATCTACCTTAATTTTTTACCCTGATAATTTATTACACCAAATGTTTTACATGATTTTTTCTTGCTTAATTTTTGGCTACTATTTTAACTTACCATTATTAAATTGTTTACACTTTTCATTACACCTAGTCTAGAAAATTTAATGTTTCGTTGACCATTTGAAAAGATTATTCTGTATATGCTCAGAGAAGTGGTAGAAGCAGCAAGTCAGCTGATGTGGAGCCCAGAGGGTTTGGTACAGGAACATCTGTAGTGGTGCATGGCCAGGGACAGCCACCCCCATAGGCTCAACTTGCTCCTATAGAAGACTTTAGTCCTAGAGGAACTGTCAGTCCTCAACTCCGCAGGGCGGCCTTGCCCATCAGATGAGGCCAGTCCAATCTGAGTACCCCTTGGTCTGCTGACCCTCCCAGGGCCCCAGGTTGGCCATGCCTGCTTGCAGGGCAGCCTCAGTCACCCTGAGGGGCCTGCAGTATAGCTTCTGTGCTGGTGGACCATGCCTGATCAGTGGAGAGCTTCAGCAGGGTGGTTTCTATGGCCATGCACCGGCCTGCATGCTCCTTCCCTATATTGCAACTTCCCCTAACCCATGGCAACTCAACTTGGTTGGCATGTATCTATGCAGGTGAGTTTTGCTTTCCTTTGCCACACCAGTGTGAGGAAGTACAGTCCAACCCCCTCCATCCGCCAACCACTATTGCAGATAGAGCTTTGGCAGGCACAGGCAGCCTGCCCCAACCAGCACCCTGCCCTTGTACTAACACTGCTGTGGAAGTCAAACTAGGTGCAGAGAACAGCAGATACTCCCCATCCCTGAGTGACAACTCCTGCTTACAGGGCACAGAGAAGGCACCCAGAACTGCACCTGCCAGTGCCCTGCCCCTGAGCCAACACCTCCTCTAGTGTGACTGTGCACATAGTCACCAGCAGGGGCCCCCAAACCCTGATTCAGCTGCGTTCTCTTCACCACTCTGGTGAACACCCACAGGGAGACAGACACCCTAGTATCTACTAGCACACTGCCACAGCTTCTGCTACCACTGCTGCTGCTACCACTGCTGCTGGCAATTGTGAATAAGGATGGATCCTGTTGTCACTGCACTATGAAATACTTTGATTGACACCACCTATCAGAGTGTAATAACCAGTGGTCTGGGAATACCTTGGGCCCCCCATACCAGCACAGTGGAGTCCTAATCTCAAGGAGCCAGAGAACAAAGTCAGGGCTCAATAGAAGTCCACCAGAGTTAGAGCACACAGTCCAGGAGTTGGAGTTGAGTGGTGGCCCTCTAACACCTTCCAGAAATGAAGCCAGTCTCCTCAGTTTACCTATACCGCAGTCAAACCCTTATGGTCATCAAATAGGATAAAAGGAAAAAACAAACACCCAAAGGTCCAACCTCAAAGGCTGAAGGAAGATAAACCCACAAAGATGAGAAAGAATCAGCACAAGAACCCTGACAACTCAAAAAGCCAGAGTACCTTCTTTCCTCCAAATGGCCACATCTTTCCAGCAAGGATTCTGAACTGGGCTAAGACGGCTGAAATGACAGAAATAAGATTCAGAATATGGATAGGAACAAAGCTCATTGAGGTACATGAGTATGTTGAAACCCAATCCAAGGAAGTTAAAAATCAGGATAAAACGATGCGGAAGCTAACAGACAAAATAGCCAGTGTAGAAAAGAAAGTAAGCAACCCAATAGAGTTGAACAACACTCTACAAGAATTTCATAATGCAGACACAACCATTAATAGCAGAGTAGACCAAGCAGAGGAAGGACTCTCAGAGCTTGAAGACTGGCTTTCTGAAATAAGACAGATAAGAATAGAGACAAAAGAATGAAAAGGAAGGAACAAAACCTCCAAGAAATACGGGGTTATGTAAAGAGACCAAATTTATAACTCATTGGTGTTTCTGAAAGACATTGGGAGGATGGAACCAACTTGGAAAACATATTTCAGGATATCATCCATGAGAACTTCCCCAACCTACCTAGAGGGCAACATTCAAATTGAAGAATTGCAGAGAACCCAAGTGAAATACTTCACAAAGAAGATCATCCCCAAGACACATACTCATCAGATTCTCCAAGGTCAAATGAAAGAAAAAATGTTAAAAAGAAACTAGAGAGAAAGGTCAGGTCACCTACAGAGGGAAGCCCATCAGACTAATAGCAGACCTCTCAGCAGAAACCTTACAAGCCAGAAGAGATGCGAGGCCAATATTCAGCTTTTTTAAAAGAAATCCCAACACAGAATTTCATGTCCAGCCAAACTAAGCTTTATAAGTGAAGGAGAAATAAGATCCTTTTCAGACAAGCAAATGCTGAGGGAATTCATTACTACCAGACC